GAAGATCCTGCAACGATATTATAGATGACGATTTTATTTTAAGAAACGTGCAAGTATATGTGGACCCGTTAGCAACAGATAAGTTCCTTCCGAAGATCCTGCAACGATATTATAGATGACGATTTTATTTTAAGAAACGTGCAAGTATATGTGGACCCGTTAGCAACAGATAAGTTCCTTCCGAAGATCCTGCAACGATATTATAGATGACGATTTTATTTTAAGAAACGTGCAAGTATATGTGGACCCGTTAGCAACAGATAAGTTCCTTCCGAAGATCCTGCAACGATATTATAGATGACGATTTTATTTTAAGAAACGTGCAAGTATATGTGGACCCGTTAGCAACAGATAAGTTCCTTCCGAAGATCCTGCAACGATATCTTTGACGAAGATTTTATTTTCAGAAATGTGCAAGTATATGTGGACTCACTAGCAACGTGTGTTCCTTCAGAAAATCCTACAAGGGGTTTATAGACGATGATTTCATTTTGAGAAATGTGCACGTGTAAACAGACCCGTTAGCAATGGTTACGTAACCACCTGACACGTATATTCGAGTATATTTAGCCAGCACTGGCGTACAACAACGACCAAAAATAAGTAGAATGGAGTACATGATAACATTGACAGTGCAACAATGCACACTGTAGTTGGGGTGGGAAGCTACTAACATCAATTACCCATCCGTGTTACACGCATTTAACAAAGGGCTAAAACACGTAACTCTAAAACAGACATTCGGGTGAAAAGGAACGCATAACTAATTTCTTTTTATCACGTTACACTTGCGCATTACTGCCAATCAAGGGAAATGCCAAAAGTGTTCATTATAGAAAGGTGTCTATTCTATAAAAACCTTTTTAACTATCACTCAAGATTAAAGCCACAAGTGTCCTTTATAAACAGCTATCCATTCGATAGAGGTGGTTTCACTGTGTAACCATCTCTTTAAAGAAACACAAAAGGTGGCCTTTATAGACAAGCGTCCATTCTATAGACATGGTTTTAAACCACTGGTTTACCCGTTAAACTTCCACTCGAGGAAAATGCCTAAAGTGTCTTTTTTCCATGGCGGCACCCCTTATACAGGTTCGTTTCTATTCCTTCTGCGACGAAACTAGGATTTCAACATGCGTGATTATAGAAATGTGTAGGTATGTGCTATTATTTATGCACTTACTATGACTCTAAAATTCTAGAGGAAAGTATTCCTTTAACGCTTCTATAGGATCGCGCGGCCCACGCACCTGTTTATTGGCTATGATGAGAATGGGAACATGCCGCAGCCTGCTGTCTCCGAGCAGCTTGTGCAGCTCGTCAAACGCCGTCGGAAATTGCGCGCTGTCGGCGCTGTCGACCACAAACACGAGAACGTTTGTGTCCTGCAAAAAGTTTGACCAGTACAGACGCACGTGTTCTGCTCCGCCGACTTAAAGAGAAAAGACAGAAGAATGGTGTGCATGAGAGTCCCGCTGAAATTTGCANAAGAATATATATATATATATATATATAGTGGGGGGGAGCGTGTGTATGTGTGTGCGTGCGTGCGTGAGTGCGTGCGTGCGTGCGTGCGTGCATGCGTATGTGCGTGCGTGCGCGTGTGTGTTCTGCTATATATATATATATATAATATATATATATATATATATATATGTATATATATATATAAATATATAGCAGAACACACACGCGCACGCACGCACATACGCATGCACGCACGCACGCACGCACAACGTACACCGAAGTCTGCCCATATAAGTGTGTGTGGTAATGGGACAGATGCGCAGAACAGATATAATATATATATATATATATGATGAGCTGATATTTATGTTGCAGACGATCAAGGTACATCTTCCAAAAAATCAATCCCTCCTTGTAGTGGGTGTGGTCGAATGCTGTCACGAGCACTGGGTCGGTTGGTATTGAGACTGGAAAGGTTATATCAGCTTCAGTGACATTTGAATGCGTTGATGAGATACGCCATATGCGTTAGCATGTACCTTGATCGTCTGCAACATAAATATCAGCTCATCGTCTACGATTTGGTGCAACGGAGCATGGTTAGGCGCGTTTCAGATATGATTAGAAGATGACAAGATATATCTTATCTTGCTTATTGCTTATAGCTTATATCTTATTATCTGCGATGCTAAGATATGATGATATGCGGAATGAGCAATATAAATTCTATGTTGGGTTTAGTGCATCGAGAAAACTACGGCAAGCATATATCCAACAGGATCGGTTATGTTTTTCCAGAGAAACTATCTATCTATCTATCTATCTATCTATCTATCTATCTATCTATCTATCTATCTATCTATCTATCTATCTATCTATCTATCTATCTATCTATCTATCTAACTATCTATGTATAGGCCTGAATATTGATATAGTAATTATAAGAATAATAATAATAATCTGCGTATATGGTTTATTTACCAAAACATGTATATAAGCGCGAAAACATTTTATCTATTTCAGGTTCGGTCTTTCAGATTGGGTTATAATTTTCAATATAGAGCATTTGACTTCGATAAATATCCCACGCACGTCCGGAACCTTAAAAACTATGCATTCAAGGCAGCCGTGATACAGGTATGTATGTTTAGTGTTACTGAAAATATTTTACTTAAAATTCCTGCTCATTGTATTATACATGCTAGTATGTATTTCCACGATCAACGTACAGCCGTTATAATATCTTACCATGCTGAAATCTTGGAGTGATCATTCTGACTGAATTCTGACTGATGGACATTCTGTAAGAATGATTACTCCAACTAGATTAAATAAAGTTTAGTTGCGCATTTCTACTTTTACATCGGATCTATCTATCCCTACTCCCGCTTTTACGGTTGTGATTCTTACAGGAAACTCTGCAGGAATTCGGCCACGTCTTCTGGGTGGACACGTCGTTTCGGATGTACGGCAATGAAAGTTTAGACACTTATGTGCAGGCGAATAAAGCGCACGCTGGGTTGACTGTCTGGAAAAGTACATTCATGCAGGCGTGCTTTATTCATCCGGGAATGTTCCAGTTTTTCGACGAACAAGCGGAAGACTTCGTTAAATCTCAGGCCTACGCAAGTGGCGCCATCTTGGTGTACAATTACCCTGCCACGTACAGGGCGATAATGCTACCATGGCTTGTCTGCAGCTTGGTGGAGAAGTGTATTTCGCCGAAAGGAGCGCGTCTGTTTCCGTGTGATTTCAGTAACAGGGATACATCCAAACACTGCTGTCATCGCTATACGATCAGGCTGCACTGGGTCTGATACTGGAGAGAGTGTTCCATTTCGACACATCACTTTATAATCCATCCTCTGCGCGTTTACACCGATTCGAACGTATTGGGTCGAAAAAGAGGTCACATTAAATACAGTTTACAACGGTACTTTATACGACTTCCTGTATGTTAGATTATACGTTTAGAGGACACCCCTGCCACCTACAGTTACTGCTCACGGGTTTTGTCTAATAACGACACGAAGAGTCAGGCAAGGAAGCTAACGTGACTTTCCGGGGCCATAAACCCCTAGGTACCGCGTAGCAGGTTCACTTCCCTGTCATGGCATTACATGCAGTCGAGACGCATGCGCGCGCTTGAGTTACGTGCAAGCATGCGTGTTTGTACACGGATACTTGTGAGCCCCAGGGGTTTTAGGAACAAGGAACAGGGGAATTAATTTTTAGGGAACAGGGGATATTTGCCGAATTGTTTTCAGAGAACAAGCTGCTGATTAGATTTTTGGGAAATATTTCTATATATATCATATATATATATATATATATATATATATATATCGCGCGTAAAATGCGTTTAGAGCATAATATTTACCAATGTACTTACTTGGCTGTGAAAATAACAGAACTGCACATAACTAGGTTTATACACGTTTTTATTGGATTCCTGCGTCTGGAATTCATGACGGAGTTCTAACGTCCACGAATGGTGATGCAGAGATGTCAGGTTCGATCCAGCCAGAGGAAATCTACTTTTGTTCTCATGCAAACAGATTGCTATCGGCTATATACCTCCTGTACCGCCTATTACCTCCTATATAGCTCCTGTTATGCATACGTGTGTCGGTGTGTGCGTGTTCGTGTACGTGTGTTTGTATTCGCACGCGTGTGCCCGTGTGTTTGTATTCGCACGCGTGTGCCCGTGTGCGTATGTGCGTGCGTGCGGACGGGCGTGAGTGCGTGCCCGTTTGCGAGTATGCGCGCGTGCGGGCGTGCATGTGTGCGCGCGCGTGTGTGTTACTAATTGTATTGCGGGTGATAGATTATTATATTTACCTAATAAAACAGAACAGACAGTACCACATAATCCAGTGTTTTTGTTTTAAACATCCTCGATTTAATCTTTGTTATATCGCTGGAGGTCATTCCGATTTTTATGTATGTTCGTAGTATGTGTAGTTCTTGTATGTAACCAGTCGTATGTTAGTGTCGTGTTTCCTTGTGCTTATGAGTTATCTATACATCAGTAGAAGCATCGGGATTTTTTGTTTTGGCTTATTGCGGCGAGTCATCGCTCTTGATTTTATACGTATATCTAAATACAATTTTTATTTTATTTTGGAGATACGGTACATGCGCGAACAGGGATCTCCAGTATGCTGAAGGGGAATTTTGGGACGACTAGATATAGCTGTATAAGCATGAGGAATTATTTTGCATGTCATGCTACTGAAACGAGTATTTGTTCTTCATTTTTATTTGATGATTATTTTATTCATTTGATAAACGCTTGACATACCAAGGAAATTATATATAAAATACGGGTTTTACAGCATTGTGACACTGCTGCTGCATATAGGACGTATATCGCCACTTATTGGTTGGTTTACATTTCATTACTGTAACGTCAGCAAACGCGCTCTGCTATTATTGGAGATACGTATATCGGGATTGATTTTTTTGATGTGCAACTACTGCTACGAGTGTTTGCTATCCATGTTAAATGTTTAATTTAAACAAATGGTTAGTTTATTTCGGATTCAATTCACGCATCAGCGAAGAATTGGTAGCGACGAGTATTTGCTCTCTATTTTAAATAAATCATGGTTGAGATTAGCACCTTGTGATTAATTAAGTAACTGGTGGGTATGTACTCTCTAAATTAACAGTAGGCCCATTATTGTAACGTCGTATTATTGTATTAATTTGATAAAAGCTGCGTGGATATTCAACAGCGAATGTAATTTAGGACGAATATCGCCATCTAGTCGTCGATTTAAATTTCATTACAGCTAGAGTAAACAGGCATTAATAAAGAAATGCATCGGGTTTATGTTTTTATGTCAAGCTACTGCGACGAGTATTTGCGCTTCATTTTAAATGTATCTACCTCGCCGAACCGCTGTCACTGCACCACTGTAACAGGGGGTCGGATTGATTCCACTTACCCAACCCAGGTTCTCGGTTCGGCTGCAGGAGGATATCCTCCCTAGGTAGCTGACTGGGAACGCCGATATAAATAACACGAACACAGAATTGCGTAATACCGCCCGTGCTTATATTATAGAACCTCTGACACCTATATGCACCACGCGTACAAATTGCCGTATCGCTTACAAAAGTAGAAATGCGCAACCAAACTTTATTTCATCTAGTTGGAGTAGGCTAATCATTCTTACAGAATGTCCATCAGTCAGAATTCAGTCAGAATGATCACTCCTAGATTTCAGCATGGTAAGATATTATAACAGCCGTATAACGTTGATCGTGGAAATACATACTAGCATGTATAATACAATGAGCAGGAATTTTGAGTAAAATATTTTCAGTAACACTGTAAATCATTTGTCATTATCTACCCCTGATTATATCAACCGCGATCGAATCTGTGTATACGCGTCGTGGACGAATTGTAAAGTGAAGTGTCGAAATGAAACACTCCCAGCTATCAGTCCCATGGCCACTCTGAATCGTAGCGATGAAGCAGGTTTAGACGTAAACTGTTTTACTGAGAATCGCACGGAGTCAATTCGCTGCCTTTCGCGAAATACACTTTCTCCACATCAATGCTGCAGACAAAGCATGGTAGCATTATCGCCCTGTATCGTGCAGCGGTAATGTACACCAAATTATGCGGGCCGCCACACTGTTGGCCGCGGATTCAACGAAGTCTTTTGCTCTTCTCGTCGCAAAAAGTTCTAAAGATCCGTCTGATGGATAAAGCAAGCACTGCGCGAACCCGTCGAATATGCCAGACGTCAACCCAGACATGCGCTTTATTCGCTCTGCACGTAAGCGGTCTCTAAAATCTTGCCTCTGCGCAATCTCAAACGCATCGTGTCTACCGCAGAAGGAACGTGTCCGAATTCCTGCAGAGTTCCTGTAAGAATCATTACCATAGTAATGTAAGAACGGATAGATCCTAATGTCAAGTAAACGCGAAATCATCCTTCATCGTAAAAACAGAGAAAAAAAACAAGTATAGATATTATAACAACTGCACGTTAGATGATGCAATTACTAAAAAAGGTATACTAAAATTACCAGTTTTGTTAGTAAAACTATATTCAGTAACACTAAAACAACATACCTGTACTCACGGCTTGCCTTGAGATGCAATGTTTTTAAGGTTCCGGGACCAGTGCGTGGGATATTTATCTGAAGTTTAACATGCTCTATATTGAAAAATTAAAACCCCAAATCGCGGAGTAGCCGAAAAACCTGAAATAGTTAATAGGTTTTCGCGCTTACTATACACTATTTGCGTAAATAAATCCATACACGCAGATTATTATATTATTATTATATATCAATCATTATACCCCCCCATACCCCATAGATATACGATTACGATAGATAAAGATAGATAGATAAATAGATAGATAGATAGATAGATAGATAGATAGATAGATAGATAGGATAGATAGATATAGATAGATAGATAGATAAATAGATAGATACGAAGATAGATAGAATATGATAATAAGATAGACTAGATAGACTAAGATAATTAGCATAGATAGATCGATAAGAATAGATAGATAGAGTTAGATAGATATAGATCAGAGTCGACGACTGATCGATCGATAGATAGAGTAGATAGTAGATAGATAGATAGATAGATAGATAGATAGATAGATAGACGGATGGGTGGATAGATAGATAGAGAGATAGATAGATCCCTCTGGAAAAACATAGCCTAACATAAGCCTAACCATGCTCCGTTGCACCGGGGACAATCCTAAATCGTAGACGATGAGCTGATATTTATGTTGCAGACGATCAAGGTACATCTTCCAAAAAATCATGCCCTCCTTGTAGTGGGTGTGGTCGAATTGCCTTCACAGAACTGGGTCGGGTGATATTGAGACTGGGAGGTTATAATTATACCAGTCTTCCGTGGCATTGAATGCGTTTGATGAGATACGCCATACTGCTTAGCGGCCCTAGGCCGGCGGGGGGGGCTTGTTCGGGTGTGGTTCGAGAACGAACGCCCCCGGCGGGCAGGCCCACCCCCAACAAAAAAATAATTTGTTTGAAAAATTTGCAAGAATCACCTTTTGCCTCCTTTCGTGGTGTAATAATTGCAAAATCTCCATCGTGCTTGAGGCCGGTGAACAGTGAACACCCACCCTCCCACATGCGCCTCCCACCGGCTCGGTTCGCCTGCTCCCTGTCGCCTGGTCGCTCGCGCCGCAGAGCTAGCGGCGGTACAGCGGGGTTCCAGGAGTTGCGACCCCTCCTTGCGCTCGGCCAGACAACGCATCTGAGGCGGTCCTAATTTAAAAAAAATCTGACCAGACCCCCCTTGCGTGCTCGCACTTTGGGTTCGGTTAGACCGGCCCCTGGTACAAATCCTGTACACGACCCCCTGCGCAGCAAATTGCCCACACTTGAACAACGAACCCCCCCCCCCAATATAAAGCGGCTACGGGCCTCGCTTAAGGTGGCCTCACACCATAGCGTATGCTGAAACTATAGAGTGTGCGATGTAAAACATATTTTTTATACGCACCAAACGCAACCCAAATCAACAATTTGTCATTTTCTGAACCTAATTCAACCTATGGGTTGCTTGTGAGTGCGTGTGGTCTGCTGTGGTGCGTGTCGGTTGCGAACTGAACTTGTGATCGCCGCCCCAATATCTGCGAATCACCTGCGTACGAGTGCGTGCCGAGTTGCGTGTGAGTTGCTGTGCAAAACTACGAGTTGTGTGAATTGCGTTCAAAACTTAACAAGTTGCTCTGGACCTTGCGTGCTAGTTGCGAATATCGGTCAGCGTGGTAAAAACCTGTAAAAAACTCCATAAATATCCATCTCTTCCAGGGTCCACGATATGACATGCCGTGTGTTCTCCTACACGGTCGATGCTGCTGATTGCTGTAGACCACGGGTAGCAGTATCCTCATGGATATGGTGCACGGCATAATGCAGGTTTTTGGTTACGAACTTGAAATTTTCTGAAGATGCTGTTCAGTGCCAATCAAACCTGAAGCGGGCTAGATGCATTTCAACAACCCTCCTGCACCCGGAAAAGCCGGTAATATGAAGAGCCTAGGGTATATTCAAGCACGGAGTCGTCGGCTCATCATGGTTTCTCTAAGGCGAATAAG